TAAAGAGTGTAAAGAAAAAAAGAGACATGGAATTTTAGTTCAGCATTTGATATAGAGCTTCTACATCCTACCCTCCCACAATGCCATTTATTTAAAGGTCCATATACCACCCTTTGCAACACCACCGTATCTTGCTTGCATTACCTACCCAAGAACTTCAGTCAAGAGTCAGTACACCTGAGTTTCAGCTCCTCTGCAGCTACGCATATAGCATATGGTTAGGTAACAGATGCCTAATGCCTGGCCAGAAATTGGGCACACTCTTCTTGCCAGGTAGCTGCTGATTTTCAGAATTGCCTGAGGTCAAAGAGAACTCTGCTACACGGCTGCAAGGGAAGCCAAAGCTCAGGCACTGCTTCTGGGCTCTCAGCATGCCAAATGTCTTCAGGGACACTATACCACCCTGGCCTGCATGCAGGACAGGCCTAACCTACAACATTTTGTTTTGTTTTTAAAGTCAGTATGCTATGTTTTGTAAGTGAAATTTTCCACTAATTTGTCAGATACAGGACTGTATGTTCATAGGTACCACCTTGAGCGTGACTTTGACCTTGGGAGTTTTCCCACGTGATGCATTTACTAGAATTGCAACTAAAAATTATCTATCACATTCCCAGGGTTTGTTTGTATTCCGCATCTTCAGAAAACTATCATAAAGCATCTCCAATTTCTGCCATGTCTCACTCACACTCATCTAGCATAAACAGATTAAGTCATCAAAAGCTTTATTTAATTATAGTCCTTTTTTTTCAAATACAACCTGCAAAGAAATCTTCAATATGCTTCAATATGTTTACTCACCTTTACATAAGGTGAGTAAAGAATTTGACAACGGGTTTGTTCTCAAATGGCCCAGAATAATGTCAGGAACTAAAATTAAAAAGGGATATGCTTCTCAACAGGGAATGATGAGAAACGCTATGGTAGTTTATACATTCATTTGAAATGCCTACCAATCTACACGCATGGGGAAAGAAATCAAGACTGCAGATTGGTCCCACTATTACAATCCTTGATGCAATCTGGCACCTTACAGGAAATCACGTCCAAGATGTGTAT